GCGGTACCACATAAGATTTAACAAAAGAACATCCCGGTCAAAGCCTTAACCATTGTATCAAAAAGCGAAAGGTCCAAGGCCCTTATTGTCACGTGACGGCTGCTGACTTAGAAAAGTCTTTAAAGGAAAAATTAGCCTGCACAAGACTTCTCCCTTTTAGGGAAAATTGACCTCTGGTGCACCCCTCATCGCGGTACCAACAGCGGCTCATTCCGACGTTGCAATATCCACTAGTATCTCTTAAAATATACAAAAACAATAATTCTGCCTGTTGTTTTGTATGGGTGCGTGCGAAACATGGTCTGCAAGCAGAACAACACAAGCGCGGCTAGAATAACAATGGCATTCTGTAATTGTTTTCAAATTTTAAATCGAATACGGCGATCCGATGCGTCTCAAATCTGGAAGGAATTAAGATTTCGTCTCATAAATAACTTTTACGTCACGTCGTCGCTACACGGAAAGTCTGGAAGAAAGACGTTCAAGCCACTGAGTGTCACCTCTATCTTCCGATTCAATAAATTAACAAAGCCAATCAATTTGGATACAGTAAGGCGTATCAAATATCAAATCACGCCTCCTTCGTTTATATAAACCAGATTAATATGCCTAATTCAGGTCTGCCATTCATTTCAAGGTTCAGCCCGTTCGGGAGTCGAATTAGGAACCTTGACTGGCACAGTGATGAAGTCAAGAAGAATGAGATGGGCTGGTCATGTAGCCTGCATGGATGGGACAACACGTGTGCACCAAGTATTGGTCGGAAAGCCTGAAGGAAGGAAATCACTGGTTAGACCTAGATGTAGATGGGAGGATAATGTCAGGCGGGATATATGGGAGATAGGAGTTGAAGGAGACTGGATTTTGTTGGCCCAGGAGAGGGTCCGGTGGAGGGCTTTGGTTAATTCGGTGATGAACCTTCAGGTTCGGTAAGCCATTAGCTGCTCAAGACATTCCCTGTAGTAATGACATCTCAAGGCTGATTAGTGTCACCAATTCTTTAGGACCCAAACTGTGCCCTTAGTTCTCACGATACCCTCCCTGCTACACCCACCCCTGTCTGAGCATCTGAAGAACATTATTTCTTTTCGTTTAGCTCTGTTTGATGTTTTCTAAATTCCATGACTGTTGTGTTAACCCAACAAATCTCAGTGGTAATTATATGTACCACCTGACTTAAAAATCAGTAACTCTTCATTTCGCAGTTGTATGCTTCGTATGTCTCAGAATAAACAGCGATTATTTCCTTAAACGGCGTTAACTACAAGATCTTCGTAATGGTGAGGCGTTGTGTTTTCTTCGCGGTTCGGTCTGAATTCTTAATTATTGTTTACATGAGCTTCAAAGGGTTAGTGAGTGAATTAGCAGGAAGAGATCTCACAATCCGTGTCAGAAGCTACCGCCCGAAATAATTTCGACACAAACCACAGCGCCCGAAATTGACATCACGATCATTTTGAAGTACATTTTAAGAACGATCTTTACATAACTTGTCCCCTTTAATGAGTCCCGCTGAAAAAGTACATTAATTGTAACCTAAAAAATAAATGAATCTGCACAAAAACCAATTACGTTTTAACCCTTTATAGGCTAGTGGTAACTAACTATGTACACCACCTGCCATTATGGTAATATTTCCCCATGTTGCTGGCTGCCTTTCAATGGCTTTCATTTTGTTCTGTGAATAAAAATAAAAAAATTCTTCAAAAGGCGTGGAGAATTTTCTTTGAGGTAACAACTGCATTTACAAACACGGCATTAGTTTTTACAATTTTTGTTGTTTAAAGGTTAATGTTCGATTCGTTGCCAAATAACTATCCCACATCTTAGGCGTACGCTCTTTTATTAACTCATGTGAAACGCATTGGCTAAAGCTAATTTTACTTGGTAATTGTTGGATCTTACGCTGGATAATCAATTGCCTCAAATATACTTCACATAAAATGCAAGTCGTTTCTACAGATGGCTCTGTTCTCATCCCGGTACATTTTTTATAGTACATTCGTGGTGGAGAACGGGATCGAACCCTGGAACTTTATTTGGCCTACACGTTATCATAAATCTTTGACTGTTTTTCAGTCAGTGATTAATTTGTGTCGGTAAATCGGGGGACAAAGACCTCAACAATAATTACGACATTCGTTCGCTGACGAATTTTTAATATTTTGAGTATTTTCGGAATCAGCAGTGTTACAATTTTATTGCCTAACAACTCCCCAATAAAATTTTGGTATAATTTCAAACGCACTATTTGCTTTTAAAGGCAGTAAACCGCATAGCTCTAAGGCGAGTTTGCAGGATTTTTATGGCAGAGTATTTTGTCTACTAGTCCAGCAACAGATATTCCTCAGGTGTAATAAAATATTCTTCACACTTACCAGCCACGGTGATGAAACCTCAGAACGCAAATCTATCAGATTTTACTCACCATGAACACCGCACAAGACTCCTTCATAGACACTGCGAGCTGAACAGTAATCAGAAAGAGTAATATATTTATTTATTTCCGTCAGTACACAAACTTAGTTGTTAAAATTGGTGTTATTAAAGTTAAACTTTAAAATTTGGCGCTTATTATCGCTATTACGATGTTACAATTTTAGCGCTCATTATTTTATTTCACAACATGTTTCAATGCAACCGCATCATCTTCAGGTTATTTTCGTCTTTAAAACTAATCTATATCTATTAATGCAACTATCATTGATTTGTTTGTTTTGTAGTTTTAATTTTTTAGGTTGTTTCTTTTTGTTCTTCGTCTTGTTTTGTATTTTTTAGATCAGTCGTTCTGTAGTCAGAGTTGTGTAGAGTCCTACATAGTCTTCACCCGACCACAGACGCAAACACACCACAAATCACAACTCTGACTACAGAACGACTGATCTAAAAAATACAAAACAAGACGAAGAACAAAAAGAAACAACCTAAAAAATTAAAACTACAAAACAAACAAATCAATGATAGTTGCATTAATAGATATAGATTAGTTTTAAAGACGAAAATAACCTGAAGATGATGCGGTTGCATTGAAACATGTTGTGAAATAAAATAATGAGCGCTAAAATTGTAACATCGTAATAGCGATAATAAGCGCCAAATTTTAAAGTTTAACTTTAATAACACCAATTTTAACAACTAAGTTTGTGTATTGACGGAAATAAATGAATATATTACTGAATACACATACTTTTATTAACCAGAAAACCTTAAATTAAGACAACACTGTTAAAATTACTTCCTGTAGTCTCCTTCAACTCCTATCTCCCATAGATCCCGCCTGAGATTATCCTCCCATCTACGTCTAGGTCTCCCCAGTGGCCTCTTCCCCTCAGAATTCCCACCGGTGCACACGTCTTGTCCCATCCATGCGCGCTACATGTCCAGCCCATCTCATTCCTCTCGACTTAATCACCCTGACAATACTGGGGGAGGGGTATTGCCGTGGTCGTGCCAAACAGTCCATCCTGATCCGACGAGGCTTCGTTGCTTTTTTCGCCGTCACACTCGCTCCTTTTGCATTACGCGTGGGTTTCCCACGAGACGGAAGGACGAGGAGCGTGTGGACACTTTCTTGCAACTTAATACGCGTAACGATGACAATTTTTAATACACAATCAAATCTGGACGAAGTAAGGCGTTCCCATTATCATCTAATTTCACCTTCTTCGTTTTTTTTATATAAACCAGGTTAACACGCCAAAGCCTGGTTTACATTTTATTTCAATGTTTAGCCCCTTCGGGGATCGAACCACGAACATGGACTGGCACACCCTGGTCTAGCGCATCGCCTTAGACCTGTCAGGCTTGCACTCACGAGGCAGAGAACGGGAGAAGGAAGGGGGTCGACCGTTCTAATAGGCCACTGCAGTGAAGGAAATCCACGCATGTCCAAAGCCACTTTTCTAAATTTAATTTCGCACACTGACATTTTAAAAAGTACTTTGTTCGCCTTCGTGCCTCTTGCGAGGTTATATCTATAATTTAGTTTTCATGGCATCAAAAATACAACGCTAACTACATACACCACTTAGTTTAAAAATCGGCTCGCAGAATGCATTTATGTGTTTATTACAATTCTTAGAGCAAACAGTGATCATTTTCTTAAACAACATTCACGTATTGGTTTTTATCATGGGCAAGTGTCGCGTTTTCTTTGAGGTACGGTACGGACTGAATTCTGAAACATTGTTTAGAAACTAGTTTAGAGTGCAGTTCGGCCATGCCAGGAACATTCGTAATAGAAAAATCTATCGGACAATAAGACAGCGCCTAAATAACTGTGAAATACGGTAACAAATTAAAAAAGCAAAGATGGAAGAACTTCATTCCGAGCAGATAAAATTGTTACCGTCCCTTTGTTTACTCCGTCCCAGCTAGATCGCAGCCCTTTTGATGATGTTTATGAGGTTAATCCGGGATTTTTTTTACATGGAGGGGTATAAGCTGCACGCCAGCGAGGAAGGTTTGGAGAATGAATTTCGTAGTTTCGCAAAGCACAATTTATTTCTTTTGCGATTAACAGCCACTTTACCGAATCGAACTACTATACATGCTTCTTCGTCTGAATGCCACAAGAGAGTCTGTCCCCTCTGCATCCGTGTCGCCAGACTTCCATCTTGTTTTATTCAAACAAAAAAACATACCTTCTGCTTGGCCAGCAATGACACAACGCTGTGATTTGTTGGCTCAAGCTGCACGTCCATAACTCTGGCCACTATATTGTCAACATTTCCAAACAATACGGCACCAATTATAGCTTCAAGAATCATGGCTGCCACCCTAGCGTCATAATTCTTGCCCTTACGGTCTTCGAATGTTTTCTTTTCCCCCACTCAAGTGTGAGATGCAGACCACCTTCCAACATTTTGACTACTGGCCTAGTAAGCAAGCATTTGCTGTACAAGTGAAACATGTAAAATTTCGCAGGAACGTCATTTAAACTTTATGTCTTAAAACCTCACTCACTTATCAACTGGTTCGAGAAGGTTTTGTACCTCCTACCACCATTCATTACAATCGGTTATATTCTTATCGTAGTATAAATGTAAGTTCAGGATTGCAAGAAATTGGTGAAGCTTCCGTAGTTTTTTTAAAAAAAGGCGGATCACCAGATTTAATATTACCTTCCCAAGTTCTTAGAAAATCTGTCAGAGCGTCCCGTCGTAATCGGTTGCCTTGGTTACTCTTGGCTTACCACTTCATAAATTCTCACACATTACTAACGAAGCGCAGAGAACTTCGCCTTTTAGTTTGTTCTTATTAAGGTCGGAAGTTGAATAACAGCTTGTTTCCTAGTATGCAAACTCGGCACGTGCTCGCGGTATCTGCTTAAACCACACGCCAACTTACTCTTCAAATCTCCGTGGTAAATATATGCACCACCTATTGCAAAAATAAGTTAACACTGTACTTTGCCTACATAGAATATTTATGGGTTTCGCATAATTCTCAGTTCAGACAGCGATTATTTTCTTAAACAGCATCAAGCAGTTGATCATTGTAATGGTGGAAGTGTGGGGTTTTCTTTGCGGTACGGACAGAATTTTGGGGGGACAAATCAGATAGCCGTATTAAATTCAAAATTTAAGATCAGTTACGTTGCGGGGATATATACAACGGGAAAGTTGGTCACGGCTCGACGAGGAACAGGAAGAATTGCAAGAGAGGATTTCGGCGAACTTTTAAATTCAACTCGGAGCTTCTGCCTTCCGTGCCACTGGCATTTGATGCAAATCCGGAACACGCCTATTAGTTAACCTGAGAACTTGCAAGCCAATGCTTACGCATCGGATATCTGCATGCAATAAGAGATGATTAGACGTCGCCAAAGCGTTATCTACAGACTAGGACTTGCTTTGTTCTGTATAGAAAGACAGGAAACAGATAGGTAAAGGCTTATTACGCATCTCACTAGCGATAGCGGTACAGTCCGTGAAAAATGTTTCACGCGGTCAGAATTCAAATAAGAGGAACTGCGATCCTCTCGGAATATATTTTGCCGTATTTAGCAAAGTTTCTTCCGTTTTGTGCAAGTTAAAAAGAAAATCAAAATAGTTCATAATGGTAGTTGAATTTATACGGCTTAGTGGTATTTAAAAGGGACCGCAAAGGGTTAATATTAGTAATTAAGTACGTTTGTTGTTTCATTACGTTTGTTTCTTCTCTATACTTACAATAGGCCGACTTAACTTTCTTAAAATTACGAAGAATAATAAGTGTGCCTTAGAGTATAAACAGTCGGATACAATTATCTATTCATTTTCTGGAATAATAAAGTCTCTAATTAATTTTCTAATAACAATTTCTAATAAAGTTTGATCGAAATAAGTAATTCAAACCAAAAACCATCTTTTCTACCCGGCTAGGACAGATTGCGTAAAATCGAATGTCTGAAAAACTGCGTTATCTTATCAAAAATTGAAAAAACATTTGGATTATTATTCATTAAATATGCCTAACATACCAAAGAACACATGTGTACACTAATTTACGAAAATAGATAAACATTCGTCCAGACCGGCTCTGGGGAAAAGAACTCGGTTCTGCCTGTGTATTAGTATTCATTTGTGGAATCCCCATAGCACGGTTCAGTAACTGCGGACGCAGAACGGAACGTGCTAATTGCGAAACCAAATACGCGGTCGCGTTCTCTGTCCTGATACCAGTCCGACATTACCTGAATTTAACTACTACCGAAGAGAACGCAGAAACCAATCAGCACTCTCCACCTCCGTCGGCGATTTATCAAAAAATGAGGGCGGGAAGGAAACACGAAATACGCGTAAACAATAAAATATAGTAAGGACGTGCGACAAAGAAAATACACAAACAGGAAAGAGAGGAAGAAAATTATGATCGAGAAAGGACGAAAATAGTAAAAGAAGAATAAACAAAGAACTAGAAAACGCATCTCGAGCACCATACGCGTTCCTGACAGCACTGGGGGTAATATTCGCGGCGTCTCCAGACGAATTCAGAAACAGGTAACGCCATCTCCGTTCAAGTCTGGACGAGGCAGACGGAAGGACTTCCAGGCAACAATCATTAAAAAAGCAAGACAAAAGTCTGGACCAATGCATGACGTAGTATGGCATTTTATACGTCTCGATTTCCGAGTTTTTCTTAATTTTAGTAGATGCTTGAAGTGGTAAATGGCTGGTTAACCAAATTTCGAGCATGAGAGAAGCGTTCGTTATCCAAATAGTATTTAACGTCACTGATTCCTGTGTTGTGTTCCATGAATGCAGCCCACACTGTCATCCTATAATCGATTTTGGTATTATCCTCCCATATATGCCTAGGTCTTCCAAATTCATCCTTTACTTCAAGTTTTCCGTGTAAAATTTCTTAGCTGTGCCACGAGTGCAACAGACGTCACTTGCCTCATCCTCTTGATCTGATCACCCAACTCAAATCAGGTTAAGAGGTCCAATTATCAAAGACCTTCATTTTCCCCGTCAGCCGATGATCGACTTCCTTAAT